GTGGTATTATCGCTGGATGTTAATCCCGAGATCCAGGTAAGGTTCTGGGAACCAGAGTTCAAATCCCATCACAGCAGAACGTGGTATTTGAATTCGATAAAATATATTCTGAAATTAAGAGTAATGATGACCACCATTCCATTGTTGATTGTTGGAAAAAACCCATCTGGTTCACTAATATCCTTTAGGGAACTAAACTGCCATCCTGACCTGGTCTGGTGTACACATGATGCTAGACTCACAGCAATGAGGTTAACTCTTAACTGCCCTCTGGGCAATTAGAGATGGGCAATAAGTGGTGGCCTGGTCAGCGACACCCTCATACTGTGAAAGAATAAGAAAAAATTAAGGTTTAATCTGTTGAGAAGAGAAATGACCCGATATTAATGGTCAGATTTAAGGGACTGTGAAATGGCACTGCCTATTTCGAGACCATACGACTTATGAGCAGAAGTAGGCCATTCAGCCATAGAGTCTGCTATGGCATTTGATGACTTCACGGCTGATCTGATAATCCTCAACTCCACTTCCCTGCCTTTTCCCCATAAGTTTTGATTTTGTTACTGATTGGAAATCTGTCTCTCTCGGCCTAAATGCTCAGTCTCTGTAGCCCTCTGCAATAAACAGTTTCACAGATTCACTAGCCTCTGAGTAAATCCTCCTTATCTCTGTTTTTGATGTGTGACCCCTTATTCTGAGATGATGCCCTCTAGGGTTAGATTCACCCAAATGGGAAAATATCCTTTCCACATCTGTGCCTTACCTCACATTTAAAGAACGGCGTATATGGTGTCAAATTTTCAGTTGTCTGTGCATTAAACATCAGGGAAAGTCCTGAGTAAAAAAAAATGAAGTCAATTGAGATAACGAGGTGTAGAGCTGTATGAACACAGCAGGCTGAGCAGGAAAGCTGACGTTTCGGGTCTAGACCCTTCTTCATGAAGTCAATTGACTTCTGTTAGCCACCTTAACAGATGACCTTAAGTGAAATTTGCATATTGATTAGCCAAATAGCTGGGGAACTGTGTCCACAGACTGAGAGGGGAAAAGTAAGTGATGCTGTACACAACATAGTTCTGGTCACCCTGTTATAGGAAGGATATTATTAAGCTGGAGAGGGTTCAGAAGTGATTTACCAGGATGTTGCCAGATATGGAAGATTTTGAGTTATAGCGAGGCTGAATAGGCTGGGGCTTTTTTCACAGGAGCGTAGGAGGTTGAGGAGTGACCCTATAGAGGTTTATAAAATCATGAGAGGTATGGATAAGAGTTACTGGGTAGGTGTTTTTTCCCTAGGATTGGGGATTTCAAAACTAGAGGGCATATTTTTAGGGTGAGAGGAGAATGATTTAAAAAGGACATGAGGGGCAACTTTTTTTACACAGGGGATGGTTCGCTCGTGCAGCGAGCTTCCAGAGGAAGTGGTGGATATAAGCACAGTTACAATGTTTGAAAGACATTTGGATAAGTTCATGATTAAGTTCATGGTTTGAAGGGATATGGGACCATAGCAGGCAAGTGGGACTAATTTAGTTTGGGATTAGGGTCAGCGTGGACTGGTTGGACTGCAGGATCTGTTTCCGTGCTGTATGACTCTATTACAGGAGTAACTGGGACACATTTCTTCCTTGGCTTGAGTTTATACAGTGGAGCAGGATGGAGTATCGTTTGGGATACAGAGACTGTGACTTTGTATCAGAAACTGGCTTGCTGTCAGTTGCAATCTTGAAAGTTTATGTAACCACATTTTATAACTCAGTGTGCTCTGAACATTGAATTATGCCTTTTCAGTGAAATAGATTCTTGCAGAGTACACCACATAATTGATTATGAAATGTGTGTCAAAAAGGCAGCCAGCTGAATACACAAAGTCCCATTTTATCACTGAATGAGTCCCTTGCTTATACCCTGTGAAAGCAGCATTGTATAGAATTGCCTTGTTATTCCTATACTTTATCGTGGCTGTATTTCCGTCATCTGAAAGCCAAACGTCACAAACTAGGATTGTTGTTCTTGACAGATCCTGCTGCATTGCTGCATCTCCAGCATTCCAGACCTCTGCTTCTGAAATGTCTGTTTGCTTTTTGTTTGCTGTCATTGTTTTCTCGGTCTCCCTATTAAAGTTGCAACTGAGGATTGCCAGTCACGTGTTCCTGTTCAAGTTCCTCCATCAGTACCACTATGTTTTCACCACTACCTAGTAAGAGCCGGAGGGTGTTCACTCCCCCTCTCATTAGAAACATAGAAAATAGGAGCAGGAGTAGGCCATTCAGCCCTTCGAGCCTGTTCTGCCATTCGGTATGATCATGGCTGATCGTCCAACTCAGTACCCTCTCCCACTTTCTCCCCAAACCTTTTGATCCCTTTAACATTTAGGATCTGTTTCTGTCCTATCTGACATGTTGACTATATAACCCTATAATTATACCTAACGAAAACAATCAATGTTTTGGCTTTGAGGCAGAGAATTCCACAGGCTCACCGCTCCCTGGATGAAGAAATTTGTCCATATCTCAGTCCTATATGGCCTACTCCATATCCTTAGACTGTGACGTCGGGGCATATCTGTCTCAACACGTCTCCACAGTGGGATTGCTGTGGTCAGGATCTCAGCAACAAGAGGGTTTGTAAGGATACCAATCAATCTGCCATCACTCTGGGGCTATTTGTTACTGTCGTACTGTGAATCGAGACCGAAACTTATGGTCTCTATCTCTTGGCCAGAAGCTCAGCGTTCAAGCCTCAGTGCTTATTGGTCTTGAGTAGGGCATTCCTGATGCAGTTCAAATAAATTTACTGTTCCCCAAAGACTTAAAAAAAGTGTTTACATGTGCATATACACTTAACATTGAAGAATAGCCTAAATAGGGGAAATGACTAGTTAAAAAATATAAAGGGAATCTTGCATTAATATTTTCTGTTTGAGGCTGAGAAGAATGAATCCAAGGCTAATGTTTTAAACTTAAATGCGGGCAATTGTGAGGATATAAAGACAGAGCTGGCTAACGTAATATGTAAAAAAGATAAAATATGTAAAGGGATAGGTCAGCATAGATACAGAGTCAAACTTTTAAGGAGATGTTTCATAAAATTCAACAAAAATACATTCCAGTGAGAAACACCGCTTCTAGGGGAAGCACACATCATCAGTGACTATCTATGAATTTTAAAGATCATGTCAAAATGAATGATTAAGAGTACGAATCACCAAAGATTAGTAACATATCAGAATATAAAAAACAGATTTTTCAACATACATTTAAATAGGAAAGCAGTAGTAAAGTGAGCGTTGGTCCTCTAGAGGGTCCAGGAAATTAATGGAAAACAGGGAAATGGAAATGGGGATGAATAGAACAGAGGGATTCCTGGATATTTATAGCACAGAAGGAGGCCATTCAGCCCATATTGGCCATACTAGTAAACCCCAATCTGATTGTGTTTTCCAGCTCTTGGCCCATTGCCCTGCAGGCTATGGTAATGCAAGTGAATGTTTAGATACTACTTAAAAGTTATGAATGTTTCTGACTCAACGTCCTTTCAGGCAGTGAGTTCCAGACTCCCAGTACCCTCTGGGTGAAAAACAATGCTGTTTAAATCTGTGCCCCTTGGTAATTGACCACTATACTAATGGAAAATATACTTTCCTATAAACCCTTTTCTATGCCTGTCATAATCTTACATACCTCTATCAGGTCCCTTCTCAACCACAGCCTATACAATCTCTCTTCCTAGCTCAGACCCCGTCAACCAGGCAGCATCCTGGTAAATCTCCTCTACACCCTCTCTAATACAATCGTATCTTCCTATAATGTGGTGACCAGAACTGCATATACTAAAAAACAAAAAAAACTGCTGATGCCATTAATCAGAAATGATAACGAAAATTGCTGGAAAAGCTCAGCAGGTCTGGCAGCATCTGTAGAGAGAAATCAGTGTTAATATTCCGGGTTGAATGACCCTTCCTTGGAACTGATGGTAGCTAGGAAAATGTCAGTATATATTTAGAAGAAAAGGTTGCGGGGGGGACGTTGGGGGAGAGGTAAGGAGTAAACGATAGAAAGGGATAGAGCCCAAAGAGAGAAGAACAGTTGGACTAAGGACTGGATAACAATCTGGCTAGGAGGGTGAATAGCTATTAATGGGGACTGTTAGTGACAAACAATGGGTTGGTAGCACACTATGTGTTAACAAGGCCTGATTAGTTGGGATAAGGACATGGGAGAGCTCAGGCCCTAAAATTATTAAACCCAATATTGACTCCAGAAGGCTGCAGGGTCCCCAAGCGGAAAATGAGGTGTTATTCTTCCAGCTTGCGCTAAGCTTTGCTGGAACACAGCAGCAAGCCAGAGACAGAGATGTTGGCCAGGAAACAGGGTGCTGTGTTAGAGTGACTGGCAACTGGAAGCTCAGCATACTGCATATGGTACTCGAGTTGTGGTCTAACCAGGGTAGCTGCTGAGATAGTGCGATATAGATTTTAATCTTCCAAAATTCCCTAGATTCTCAAAAGGTACAGTCAGATTGGAAAATTGCAAATACAATTTCTGAATTCCACAAAGGAGTGAGACAGAAAGCAGGAAACTGTAGGTACATTAGTCTAACACCTGTCATAGGGAAAATGCTGGAATCTATTATTAAGGAGCTTAAAGTGGGGCACTTAGAGAATCTGAATGCAATCAGGCAAAGTCTTTGTGGTTTTCTGAAAGGAAAATCATGTTTGACTAATTTATTAGGGCACTTTTGTGGAAATAACAAGTAAGGCAAATGTAACATGAGCAGACAAGGAGCTGAGGACCTGTCCTCAGGCAGTGCACGCAACATGATGTCTAATAACTTGGGATATGTTACATCTTGATTGGGATTCAGAGATCTATGGTTGTTAATTCAACAGCACAAGAATACATATAAGCTCAGCCTATCTTAGCTATTGCACGTCCGTCATGCTCAGTGTGGGGTTCTCTCACTAACAATACTGTTTCTACTTTCCTCTTCCTTTGCAGCAAACTCCCTAGCTGGGCTAGGGCCGTGGTACCCCGAATATTTTATATCACAGAAAAGGCCTGGAATTACTATCCTTATACCATCACAGGTAAGAAGACTTTCCAACTATAGTAGGAACTGTAGATGCTGGAGAATCTGAGATAACAAGGTGTAGAGCTGGATGAACACAGCAGGCCAAGCAGCATCAGAGAAGCAGGAAAACTGATGTTTCGGGCCTAGACCCTTCTTCAGAA